CTCTTGATAGATATGAGAGCTGTCCCACCCTCTTGATTGATATGAGAGCAGTTCCATGCATTTGATAGATATTGAGCAGTTCCACCCTCTTGATAGTTATGAGAGCTGTCCCACCCTCTTGATTGATATGAGAGCAGTTCCATGCATTTGATAGATATGGAGCAGTTCCACCCCCTTGATAGATATGAGAGCAGTTCAACCCCTTGATAGATATGAGAGCAGTTCTACCCTCTTGATAGATATGAGAGCAGTTTCACCTCTTGATAGATATGAGAGCTGCCCCACCCTCTTGATAGATATGAGAGCAGTCCCACCGTCTTGATAGATATGAGAGCTGTTCCCCCCTCTTGATAGATATGTGAGCAGTTCCACGCTCTTGATAGATCTATATGAGAGCAGTTCCACCATTTTGATAGATATGAGAGCAGTTCCCCCCTCTTGATAGATGAGAGCAGTTCCTCCTCTTGATAGATATTAGAGCAGTTCCTCCCTCTTGATAGATATGAGAGCTGCCCCACCCTCTTGATAGATATGAGAGCAGTCCCACCCTCTTGATAGATATGAGAGCTGTTCCACCTCTTGATAGATATGGAAGTAGTTCTACCCTCTTGATAGATATGAGAGCAGTTCTACCCTCTTGATAGATATGAGAGCAGTTCGACCCTCTTGATAGATATGAGAGCAGTTCCACCTCTTGATAGATATGAGAGCTGTTCCACCCTCTTGATAGATATGTGAGCAGTTCCACGCTCTTGATAGATCTATATGAGAGCAGTTCCACCTTTTTGATAGATATGAGAGCAGTTCCACCTCTTTATAGATATGAGAGCAGTTCCACCCTCTTGATAGATATGAGAGCTGTTCCACCCTCTTGATAGATATGGGAGCAGTTCCACTTCTTGATAGATATGAGAGCAGTTCCACCTCTTGATAGATATGAGAGCTGTTCCACCCTCTTGATAGATATGAGATCAGTGCCACCCTCTTGATAGATATGGGAGCAGTTCCACCTCTTGATAGATATGAGAGCAGTGCCACCCTCTTCATAGATATGGGAGCAGTTCCACTTCTTGATAGATATGAGAGCAGTGCCACCCTCTTCATAGATATGGGAGCAGTCCCACTTCTTGATAGATATGAGAACAGTTCTACCCTCTTGATAAATATGGGAGCAGTTCCACCTCTTGATAGATATGGGAGCAGTTCCACCTCTTGATAGATATGAGAACAGTTCTACCCTCTTGATAAATATGGGAGCAGTTCCACCTCTTGATAGATATGGGAGCAGTTCCACCTCTTGATAGATATGGGAGCAGTTCTACCCTCTTGATAAATATGAGAGCAGTTCCACCTCTTGACAGATATGAGAGCTGTTCCACCCTCTTGATATATATGGGAGCAGTTCCACCCTCTTGATAGATATGAGAGCAGTTCTTCTCTCTTGATAGATATGAGATCAGTTCCACCTCTTGATAGATATGAGAGCTGTTCCACCCTCTTGATATATATGGGAGCAGTTCCACCCTCTTGATAGATATGAGAACAGTTCTACCCTCTTGATAAATATGGGAGCAGTTCCACATCTTGATAGATATGAGAGCTGTTCCACCCCCTTGATAGATATGAGAGCAGTTCCATCTCTTGATAGATATTTCCACCTCTTGATAGATATGAGAGCAGTTCTACCCTCTTGATAGATATGAGAGCAGTTCCACCATCTTGATAGATATGAGAGCAGTTCCACCTCTTGATAAATATGAGAGCAGTTCCACCCTCTTGATAGATATGAGAACAGTTCTACCCTCTTGATAAATATGGGAGCAGTTCCACATCTTGATAGATATGAGAGCTGTTCCACCCCCTTGATAGATATGAGAGCAGTTCCATCTCTTGATAGATATTTCCACCTCTTGATAGATATGAGAGCAGTTCTACCCTCTTGATAGATATGAGAGCAGTTCCACGCTCTTGATAGATATGAGAGCTGTTCCACCCTCTTGATAAATATGGGAGCAGTTCCACATCTTGATAGATATGAGAGCAGTTCCACCTCTTGATAGATATGAGAGCAGTTCCACCCTCTTGATAGATATGAGAGCAGTTCCACCCTCTTGATAGATATGAGAGCAGTTCCACCTCTTGATAAATATGAGAGCAGTTCCACCCTCTTGATAGATATGGGAGCAGTTCCACGCTCTTAATAGATATGGGAGCAGTTCCACCCTCTTGATAGATATGAGAACAGTTCTACCCTCTTGATAAATATGAGAGCAGTTCCACTTCTTGACAGATATGAGAGCTGTTCCACCCTCTTGATAGATATGGGAGCAGTTCCACGCTCTAAATAGATATGGGAGCAGTTCCTCCCTCTTGATAGATATGGGAGCAGTTCCACTTCTTGATAGATATGAGAGCAGTTCGACTCTCTTGATAGATATGAGAGCACTTGCACCTCTTGATAAATATGAGAGCAGTTCCACCCTCTTGATAGATATAGATATGAGAGCAGTTCCACCCTCTTGATAGATATGAGAGCAGTTCCACCTCTTGATAGATCTATATTAGAGCAGTTCCACCCTCTTGATAGATATGAGAGCAGTTCCACCTCTTGATAGATATGGGAGCAGTTCCACTTCTTGATAGATATAAGAGCAGTTCCACCTCTTAATAGATATGAGAGCTGTTCCACCCTCTTGATAGATATGAGAGCAGTTCCACCCTCTTGATAGATATGGGAGCAGTTCCACCTCTTGATAGATATGAGAGCAGTTCTACCCTCTTGATAGATATGAGAGCAGTTCCACGCTCTTGATAGATATGAGAGCTGTTCCACCCTCTTGATAGATATGAGACCAGTTCCACGCTCTTGATAGATATGGGAGCAGTTCCACTTCTTGATAGATATGAGAGCAGTTCCACCTCTTGATAGATATGAGAGCAGTTCCACCTCTTGATAGATATGAGAGCTGTTCCACCCTCTTGATAGATATGAGAGCAGTTCCACCCTCTTGATAGATATGAGAGCAGTTCCACCTCTTGATAGATATGAGAGCAGTTCCACCCTCTTGATAGATATGAGAGCAGTCCACGCTCTTGATAGATATGAGAGCTGTTCCACCCCCTTGATAGATATGGAGCAGTTCCACGCTCTTGATAGATCTATATGAGAGCAGTTCCACCCTCTTGATAGATATGAGAGCAGTTGCACCCTCTTGATAGATATGAGAGCAGTTCCACCCTCTTGATAGATATGGGAGCAGTTCCACTTCTTGATAGATATGAGAGCAGTTCCACCTCTTGATAAATATGGGAGCAGTTCCACCTCTTGATAGATATGAGAGCAGTTCCACGCTCTTGATAGATCTATATTAGAGCAGTTCCACCCGCTTGATAGATATGAGTGATAGATATGAGAGGATATGGGAGCAGTTCCACCCTCTTGATCCATCTGAGAGCAGTTCCACCCTCTTGATAGATATATGCAAGCGGTTCCACCCTCTTGATAGATATGAGAGCAGTTCCACCCTCTTGATCCATCTCTTGATAGATATGGGAGCAGTTCCCCCTCTTGATAGATATGAGAGCAGTTCTCCCCTCTTGATAGATATGGGAGCAGTTCTCCCCTCTTGATAGATATGGGAGCAGTTCTCCCCTCTTGATAGATATGGGAGCAGTTCTACCCTCTTGATAGATATGATTGATAGATATGAGAGCAGTTCCCCGCTCTTGATAGATATGAGAGCAGTTCCACCCTCTTGATAGATATGAGAGCAGTTCCACCTCTTAATAGATATGAGAGCAGTACTACCCTCTTGATAGATATGAGAGCAGTTCCACCCTCTTGATAGATATGAGAGCAGTTCCACCTCTTGATAGATATGGGAGCAGTTCTACCCTCTTGATAGATATGAGAGCAGTTCCACCCTCTTGATAGATATGAGAGCAGTTCCACCTCTTGATAGATATGAGAGCAGTTCCACCCTCTTGATAGATATGAGAGCAGTTCCACCTCTTGATAGATATGGGAGCAGTTCTACCCTCTTGATAGATATGAGAGCTGTTCCACCCTCTTGATAGATATATGCAAGCGGTTCCACCCTCTAAATGAACTAAACTCTACAATTTGAGAGCAGCTCCACGCTCGTTATAAACTTATCCAATCAGATTTGAGATCAGTTCCACCCTCTTGATGGAGATATGAGAACAGTTTTATCCTTTTGAAGGTCTGTAGTAGTCTGATAAAAGTTTAAGAGCAGTTACATTCTTCTGACAGACTACAACATGACCAGTTTGTCATGAAAATCCTTTCCACTTTAGTGGTGTACCCTGATCTGGACAGACTAAATAATTGTTCACAGTTGTTGTTTACCTCTATCCTGATGTCATTATTGTTTAGGCTAATCCTTCATGCATATATGAAACTGACTTGATATGTACAGGCTAAATTCAGTTGTCTCAGAGAAAATTCTAATTGGTAATCCTTTTTTTCCCCTCGTCCAAAAAAACCCCAAATGCAATAGATAACCAAGAGAATGTGGATATCCAATTAGTTAATGAGATCCTTTTCTACTTATGATTTCTGAATTGAAGTAAATTCATTTATCCTTCACAAATAGAATGTATTGCATAGTACTAAAGCTCATTCGTCACAGAACATCAATGTTATCTTCATGATCTTTACAGTGCATGAGACTAGCACGTGATATTTCACCTTTACAGACTTAGACCTATTCCTGTCTATTGAACGTGTCTTACGCTTCAGGTATTTGCATGCATGATTGGTATTGCTTTAATGACTTGTATGGTGCACCAAACTTATGTTACATGAAAATTCACAAACCATACAAAATGGTAAATTTAAATTGGAATTGTAACCAAAAAAGATTGAAGTACATAATTATGTAGTAGAACGAATGCCTAAAACTTGTTCGTCGACAATATGCTTGTACAGTATTATATCAATGTGTTGACACACTTTATTGCACAAATCTAGAGCTTACCTCAGCACAGCAGCACCCACACATCGTGACAATCTGCTATCTTCTGATCACCTGTGGGAGAGAGAAAACCAGAATACTTTTTATCATATTTTACCACAACAATTAAATATTCATCACTTCTTGCACATACCATCCGATACTTAACACAAAACACAAGAGCTGTGTGTACTTGTTAATTTGAAGAGCTATGAAACAGGAAGCAATTTTTTTTGAAGCTTTGTGAACATGTACATGATACTTGAGTAGCTATATGTGTGTGTGGGAACACCTGTATGTGTGTTTATAGACATGTCACATACAGTTATCTGATGGTTCACCTGAGTAACGTCTTTACAGATCAATGCCCACACATACCTTAGTGACATTTTTTACTGGTCATGAATATTCCACTAAACCAGTACACTGTACAGATATACTCTCTGTACAGCAGGTCCGTTAATCTAGGTATGACCTCCTCTTACTCATTTGATAATGTTGTAAAATATTCATTAAATAAGTTCAAATCTAAATCACTACAAACTTTATTTTGCACCCATCCCCACCTCCACCACCATCCTACATAGAAAGGAATCTTCTACGTTTTGAAGGAAGACTTAACAAAAAACTACACCACACATGCCGTTTTGTCAGTAAAAGACAGCACACAGAAATTTGTCACTGAGTACACCACCATTTGTAATTGGCTACTGTTCGATCGGCAGACATAGACACATTTTAACTTGGGAAGTCTTTATTTCCTTGGAGACTCACTGTAATTTAATTTTTCCTCCTAGATTTATTCTGAAATGACTCATGTGACCTTGATTGTACATTTGTATGACAGGATCATTTACCGGATATTTGAAAAAAAAAAAACTTGATGGCTCTTCATTTCAGACATTTGACAAATATGACTCCAGAGATTGTGGTTCTTGAGGAAATGTTTGAAGTTTTCAACACTTTTGACTCCTGTGACCTTAAACGGCTGTCAAGATAATTGATTTGGCCAAACTTATTAGTCCTTCACTCTATTAAATACATACTAAGAGCATGATTCCAGATTTTACGATTATATATAGTTTCTCAATGAAAGCTGCTGACTACAGACCATGAATGTAGACCTATGGCAAAATTGGATTCATAAATCATGATTCTGAGCCAATTTGCCCACAAATTTTGGTTTGTGCCACTGGCCATGGCTAATGAAGAATCTAGAGGAACCAATGGAGGACCTTCACCAAACCCTATTCATCAGATCATCAGAACTTATTACAGAAACATTAAATAACTCTTTTATCTATCTTTGTGTCTATCAATTTGTTCCATTTCTCTTCCACATTTTGCAGCGAGTAGTATCTGTCCTCGCTGGATGAAGGCAGTATCATGCACCAATGACTGGCAATCTTTTTCGATACATTTACCAATACATTGGAAAGTTATGGACGCTATAGGCACAATTTATTTGTCCAGCACATGCAACACTTGTCGATAGCAACATGCAGAAAACACTAACACAGCTTCAATGCAGAAAGCAATACTGTATGAGGATACAATAAATGGATCAATTCTATGTGTTTTACATCATGAATTATTGGGGGGAAACTTGGGATCTTGGTTTTTTTGAGAGCCAATTTTATGGTGTACATGAAAGAATAGGCACATGTTTAGATCTTCATGAACCATGGATTAACAGTTTATTTGTAGGAAAGGAAAACTAAAATAGGTATACAGCCACATCTAGATCAGGTAACTACAGTTGAGCCTGGTCTGCGCATGCCAAGCCAGTGATTGGAGGAGACAGATTTCCCTTTGTCTACCAGTTATATAGCTACGTCCAAGTACCATCCAGCCAATTGACTAAATCCTACCACTTTCACTTAGGAAAGAAAGTGGCTAGATTATTTAAGCTCAAATGTATATAGGATTTTTTATTTATCTGGTTTATATGCATTGCAGATTAAATATTTAAGTCTTTAAAATGGTTCAAGGTCATATCCATGTGACATCACAGTAGTATTCTGAATAATGAAATCTGGTGGCCTTTACCCTAACCCAACTCATATTTTTGTCCAGTTAATTGTTTCTATGACTTATGGCTATCACGATATTCCTTCTTGATCCTTTGTTATTCAGACATCATACATAATTATTATTCTGTTCTAATGCATCAATGAACACCACATTGACAAGGACCAATGTTTTCATCAGGAATAGACATTTTTTTATTAATCAGGTTTAACCTATAGAGTGGGACCTAGTAAAATGTCTGGTTTACTCAGGTTTCTGGCCAAGATCAGTTAAGGTGGCTCCACACATCGTCATCAGTGTCCATTTTCGTGACGTACTTCCGGAAAAAGTACAGCTCGGACTCAATTATCTTGATCGAAATGTGCATGTACACCGTGTCGTCATTTCCGTATTGCGTATCGGGGCATTCAATATCGTAGTGCAAATTAAAGTAACACCTGGGCCATTTTCGTTTAAACGGTCAAACCAATCGGACCACTGTTGTTCGTTTATTAAATAAGGTCGGACCTAGTAATCTGATGCTGCTTTCAGGCGAACCTTGAGAAATCCTTGCAAGGCCTGCATACACATTTGCAGGTCCACCAGAATTTATACCCGAAATGGTTACATTTATAAACGGTCAAACCGGTTGTTCCGCATAAACGAACAGGCCCCTGGTAAACGATAGTACACGTGCGTGCCGATGATATGTCAACACCCGATATCAAGATTTTACCGGGAAATGTATAATCACACATACTTTAGGAATAAAGCTTTCCAATTCATACATATACATAAACAGACTCACGGGAAGACAGTGACATGAGACCAGACGACCTCAAGAAGGTCATATAGGAAACACATGGAATGCGGACATAACGACCTCACGTGCTTACACAAGTTCATAAGCTTGAGGTCGTTATATTTCCTCGTTGAGGTAGTTTCGCTCTGTCGATTAAATCGTGTTTACAAATGTAGTCTACTTACTCTGTGAAAATAATGTTTGGTAAAATATCAAGATACCTATGAAATGCATGTGTGAGTGCACGTGAGAACGGCATACCATGCGATAGCCTCTGGTCACATATATGTAATTATAAATATTCCCTGAGTTAGCGGACTGTGGAATGATGTCCAAATTGTGCATGGCTGAAGGTAATTTGGTTCCATTAAAGAACAATAAATTGATAATTTTGATATCATATTTTTGATTTATTTCCATCATTTTTGTTATATGTAAACAGAGACAACTGTCATTGTGTAAATGTCATCCCTCTGCAAAAAGTTCCGATTTTTTTCAAGGAAGATTACTCTCACTCGGATCATATTGATTGTAAAATGTAAAATAAATTAATTATAAAGCCATTGTGTATATTTTGTTCAATTTCCCACTCTATATGTATCGATCTTTGTGTCCTGTTTGCTTTTAGCTTGTAGATAATCACTTTTATCCGTACAAATTCAATAAAAAACACTTTGTGTAACATGTGTTACATATTTGGTGATAATTAAAATATTTGTAGGGTTAATTAGAAATGCTTCTTTTCGTTTTTTTATTGTTGTTATTGTTCCGAACAATGCCACACACACACAAAAAACGGAAAATATTAAAATTGACGAAAATTCAATTTTTTTGTATTTTTTTCAAAAATTTCCCAAACTATCGGAATGTTTAGATTTTCATAAAATCAACTCTACATAGTTGCATAACCATTATATGAAAGTTTCAACGAATTTTGCTGGTTAATTGCGAAAGTGTGGAGCCACCTTAAAATATATTAATTGCAAGGAAAACTTCACCATAGGTTCTATATATTTAAGGATGAACATAAATTAACTTAACGTTAATACCAAAATTATTCAAAAAGCGAAACAGTTTGTCTGCCTTAGTGCAATTTATTGAAAAAATAAAATTTAAGGCAGTTGGAAACACTTATCAGAATTTTTTACATATCTTGGTACATTGCATTGTTTTCTATGGAGGCTTGAATGGCTGGGATTTTCATCCTGTTAGAACGGACTAAATCTGCAGAACGGATCAAAACTAAAGTGAGTTTCCTGTGGGTTTTTTAAATCTCTATTATCACTCTTAATCTTAATTGTCCTGTGTTCTTTATCTTGCAAACAATATTTTTTTCTTCGCACGAAAATATCCAAAGGCGAGCATTTCTTTGTAGATTATATATAAACAGGTTTATAATTAGATTTTAAAACTACTGCCAATGCTAAAATGTCCACACCACGATCAGTTTAAAGAATCACAATGCAAACCTTTCAACACACACATATTTCCACTTACACAGCATGCCTGTAGATTTTATCTGGGAATACAAACTTTATTGGAATTCAAGATAAAGAGGACGCTTTTTAATATTACTAATAACCATCAACAGAATAGGTATTCACTATTTAAATTCCCAAATGAGTCGTCTCCTTGTGAACGGATTCAAAAGTTGTTACAGAGTTTCAAAAAACTGAAGCAATTTACATTACATACATGTTATATAACATACAAATACATGGATACATTGTATAAAATCCATTTTGGTTTTTCGAAAAAACCTATTGTTCTGTTTCCTTAATATACGACACAATCACCACATACGTTGTGCTCGTTACAACTGAATAAAGACAAGCTAAGACCTTTCCAGATATTGCCAATCGGCCTTTTGTAATGTAACTACATTGAGCCAACAGGCAATAGCTGTGACAAAATTAGACGAATGGCTGGATTTAAGAGTGTCTATATATATACCGGCGTAAGACTGTAAGCAGCAGTCTGGTTGTCCACAGGAGATGGTTGAAGGATGGATATATGTCATGTGAGCATGGTTGTAGACGCACATCACACAATAACCTATGACAGAACGCCTGGGAAGAGAAGCGTTTAGATGTTCCTTAACAAGGTAGAAGTGGCTAAATTGGATTGACCATTGCCACAGAATTACCTCCAGCGTCACCCAGCCACCGTACTTGGCCGTGAGGCTCCAGCTTGTGTGGCAAAGGGTAAATACATTAAGGAAATAGGAAAAGAACAAAAATCAGTATGAAAAAGCCCACATGTA